CTGAACAACAGCGAGGGTGTTTCTCAAAAAGTCGGCCCGAGACATTCTTGTCAGCAAATCCGCAATGTGAAGATCCGTGTTTAGAAGCAATAAAGCGTAAGCGACCGCATGCACGACGTCTTGGTCAATGCGTGAGTCCAAGACCCGAATTCGTGCGATATGGTACCCACCAGTACTATGATACACGGGAGGGAATTGCATTCCCAAAACTTCACACTAAACGCCTCTAAAATGCGATCCAATTGCTGTGCTTCTCCTTTTAAATAAAGTTTATTGCAGAGACGTCCTAGGTATATGACTGAATGGGGTTTTTCACCATGAAGATAGTCGGATCTTACCTGAAAGCATTGTCCAACCGCATGCCTTTGAAATCGAAGTTGTCCATGTAGTACTTCAAGGATTGCTTTCGATAGGGTCGCTGCCAGAGAACATCATGAGAAATATGGTATACTCATCATGAGGCTGCTCACGTTCCACCAAGCCACTCTGCAATCTTTTCCATTGCTAGGAAACCCATATCCTCATTCCAGCATTTCGCTGCATACTCCTTTGCCCTAGCTTCCAATTCTTCTGGTTCCAGATGAATCTTGGTTGAAGAGGGTACCTTGACGGTTTAGATCCGAAGACGAAGCCATCGAGCTAGGGTGTGAATATGTCGAGCCTCTTCTGTCTAATCCAACTGCGCCATTACTGGTACCTGACAAGCCCATCGAGTTAGCAGAGGGGACGAGACGAACTGTACGATTGGAATCACGGTGACCCGAGCAAGGAAACCATCCTCTGTGATAACAGGCTTCTCATCCACGAGAATAGGTTCGGAAGCAGAGGCCGCATTGACGTGGCTGGATTCGGGAAACCCGTGCATCCCTTGATGGCGAGCGTGGGTCCGTTGCTGCTGCGGGGAGTGCTGTAGGTATCGCCACGCGCTTCGACAGAGGGGCGACTTCCGGTAAGAGGTGCAGATTGCACGGACGATGTTGTCGCATTCGAGACTGAACGGTTGGGAGGTTGGCGATAGGTTCGAAGAGAAGCGACCCGCGGATTTTGGCGATGCAGACGCAGAAGAGGGAGATGACTGATAGGACAGAGTCTGAAACGGGTTGGGGCTCCGCTGAGGGAGGCGAAGGTTTGTTGGCCGAGGAGACGCGTGATGGTCGTTTCGCCTTGCCATGGAATGATCAGACGAATCGCTATGTCCATTTTGAGAAGAGGTGGGTGTAGCCAAATGGACGGTGATTCTATTATCAGTGGCCGGAACAGGAGATGGTAGGAAGGACGCCGGAGTAGATGAAGGTGTGTAGAAGCTATCTTCATCTGAATTTCTGGAAGTTACTCGAGATGGTCTTGTGCCGAAATCATCTGGAGTTTCGGATAATGAAGCTGCTTCAAGGCGAGCGACAAGTCTTAGCGTATCACTGGGGAGTTGGTTCCACCTTGGGGAGGTGTTCGAGCGCCAGGATCAGTCTTCCCAGAACTGCTGGGATCGGAACCGTCTGGTTTCCAGGTGCGACTGGACCTGTCTGAGGACATGCTTGGCCGAGGATCAAAGGCGCTTTTTCGCGGGGTGATAGGGTGAGCTAAACCTTTGAAAGCGGATCTAAAGTCATCCGTAGCTATAACAACATCCCCCAAGTCTGTGATTCCCTTCTTTATGCTTTCCCCTGACTTTCTGCCCGAAGTGTCAAAAGGAGAGAGCCTCGAAACGTCAATGCTACCAACACTCATGCTTCGCCGTCGCCCAGCTTTGATTGTGGCATTTTGCGGGTGCTCGACAGCACGTGGCAATGAAGACACAGGCGCATAACTCGGAGGGAACAAGGGTCTGTCATCCTCCGAAACTCTGGAATCGACTGAAGCGCGAATTGTTGGAAGCTGCTTGGGCCCCGTAGAGGGAGGGCATGAGAAGACATCGTTAGATTGCATCGAGGAGAAAGACCGAGATGTTGTGGGAAGAGGGGGTACAGGACTGCGCGAAGAGGAGCGGGCACTGGGGAATTAGGTACCGTGACGGAATTGAACGTTTCTTGTCTTTTCGCGCTGCTGCTTAGTATCAACTTGTTGAAAAACGCTCCTGTCTTTGCCCGCATGAGGACTTGTGACAAGTCATGTCAAGATAAATGAGGCAAATTCGGAAAGCAGATGTACTTTGAATCTTTATCCTTGGACCGAAGTTTAACGAGAGCATAGATGCATTGTTCTGTATTGAGATGAGAGAGGATTTTCCACTTTTCTTTCCATGGGTTGATTCTATGCGGGATGGGCATGGTGACAGAGGGTCAGGTGAAATGATAGAAAACGACGAAGTTGAGGACGCCGCTCTATTGCGTGGATTGGAAGCGGGAGTGAGGAGGGCGGATATTTGTAACTCGATGGCGCAACCGAAATGGTCTTGGTTCCGGCACTTGGAGTGCTGAAGAGGCTTTGGAACCCACAGGAGTCTTGTTTACACCAACAATGCCGCACGTTCTTTCGCCTTTTGAACCAGGGTTGCAAGATCAGGACTGCTGGACGTGCCCGGGAACGTAGCAAGCTTCGTCGTTTTGGGTCTGTTTCCGCCTCTTCCATAGAATCAGAGTATCTGGAGATTGAGGATTTGCAGGTTTCAAAGTGGACGAAGAGACGGGATTCGCGTCAGGAGTAGGGGGAACGACTTTGGGTGTCGCTGGTTGCAAAGTTAATTGAGGATGATTCCGTGATATTGTCAGTGACGAGTCAATACTATCATCCACGAAGGAGTTTCTCCCGCAAAATGTCGGCTGGATTGGGGTGACACCACACCAAGCTTGTCTTCATCTACGCTGGCGTGATGTGCACGGTCCCGTCGCTATTCAATGCATCTTCAAAATTCCGTGACTGGCGGTTCCCGCGTGTCTCTGTTCTGTTGGCACCAGTAACCGTGAACTGGCACTATTTGCACCACGGGAGGAAGGGGGCCTGCTTTGGCGGTGGCCGCTGTGCGGCCCGAAGAGGCCGACATAGGTCCGCTCGACAAAGCGACTGCGCCCAAGGCAACGTTGAACTCAAATTCAAGTTGGTGGTGGGTTCGAGTCACGCGTTTTTCTTTATTGAGTAACCTTCAATATCATACCTCAGTGCTAAGGTCTGACGTAGGGCAGTAACACGACCGAAGCCGTAGCGTTGGTGAGATTGAGGGGCCACACGTGGGCAATAGACGCCAAGTACAGGTGATCGGTTTTGAATAGACAATGACAATGAAACAATTTAAATGTCAATCGATTCTGATGCTTGACACGCTGAAAACAAGTTTCCGTCAGCGTGCATCGCGCCATTGCCATCACAATCTCTACATTTTGGTGTCCTAAGCGACTACAAAGGTTGTTTTATGAGGTCTCGGCAACATCGGAAACGCATCTCTCAAGGATTCGACTCGAGCGCCTAAGCGTCTTTCAGCAACCTTGCTAGGCCTCCAAAGAAGCGGGTTGAGCCTCACCACTTCATCTACTCCTCCCTGAGCAGCGATTCGTATATGTTGCGTGCATGCTTCACGTATTCATGTGAACGCCGGACATCCGCGTCTGAAGCGGCAGAAACACTATCATCCAGTGGTGGCAGAAGCGCGGACAAGTCCAAGTTCGAGTTCTGAAGGCGTTTCAGATCAGATTGAGCGCCTTCCAGTGACAGAAGCTCGAGTCTTTCATGAGCTCTCGGGCACGTGGAACGGCTTTAACGGAGTTTAGACCCTTCTCCGGGACAATTGCCGCAAACAACGCCCGAGCGGGCAATTGGAAAGCTCGTTGAAGACGCGAGGAAAGCGCGTGTTCGCTTTTCTCTCCATTCTCTGGACTGCATGCAGTCATTTTCATCTTCTCTGTCGAGAACAGAGGCTCCTTCTCGTTTGCGCCTTACTCGAAATCCAATGCCAACTGTGCGTGGAGAGCAAGACTCTGAGTTCCCGCCGACACCTTCTTCGTCCTCCTCATCTCGCAGCTCACATCAAGACATGGCCGACATCAACAATTCCTCCCTTACCACATCGCCCGAGCCTCTTCCTCTACGGACTCCCCTGCTGCTCGCTTACGTGCATTGACAAGTCGCGTCTTAGCCAACACTTCCTCACAGGCGACACCTCCTCCTACGGACCGGGACTCTGAATCTGATGCTGCTACTGTTAAAAAACCACCTGCTTCAGCGTTCTTCACGACGGGACCTGCTCGAGTGTTGTCCGGAGAGCTGGAGTCGGACATTGAGTCCTTTGTCGGAAACTCCTTACCGTCTTCCGCGCTTCATCTGCGAAGCAGAGGCTAAGGGACCTGTACATCCGTACACTGGCTGCCAATGAAACAGATAGTACCCCCAAGCCTCCACACCGAGGCGCCGACGGTCCTCGTCTACAAGTCCTGAACCCTCACGCAACAAGGTCACTCCCAGACCTAATTCGTTATCGGACGACGAACGCGATCGGAAATCGAACACCCCATCCTGTAATATTGATCTCATTGCGACCCGTTTCCTCCTCATATCTTCCTTGTAGCTGCAGATAAGTCCTCCCGCAAGAGGCAGGACTGCTCGTTGAACATTTTACGAGCCAGACTCGAATCGTCCGATGTAAACACGGGTGAGTCACTTAACTTTGAATGCGAGTCCTTGACTGATCTGAGATTCAGATCTCGAAGAAACGCCTAATATCAACAGGACATGTGGGTCGACAGGAGCATCCGTGGGTCTAACTAACCGGCCTGAAATTTAGCTCATCCATTGCGCTCCCAAATTGAAGCCATCGACTTTAGTCACGACTGTAAGAATCGTATCTTAGCCATCAATGCACACCCTCACATCTTGTGTTGAACAGTGCCCAACCCAACACCACAACAGTCTCCGACACACACCCTTCACAACTCTTTCGGGAAGCAATTGCCTGAACGAACCAGTACGCCAAAGAATGCTCGCGGCAATGATGGGTTCTTGACATCAGATCAGAGCTCAATGAACCTCTCCTTTCACCCTCCTCCGCTTCAACTCCCTCCATCCCCTACTCGTGTTTCTCCCAATTATCGCACCCGGAAATCCCCTCTTATTGTCCCATCTGTAAGGCCTAGACTTGCCCGCGCGACCTACCTTGACCGATCACACAAGGCATCAACACACGAAACGTACACAAAGCAACTCGAAGAACAACCAACGACCGATGAAGAAGCTCTGCGAGCTAACCAACGTCGGCTTGATGTGGATTCTTTACGCCTGGAAAGCCTTATCCACGATTCTACCGCATCTGCAAGTACATCAAAACCAATTGTCAGTTCGCGACGAGCCCAGACGGCGCGATATGATCTGCAGGAACCGAACACGGATTCCGCCCCAGAGGGAGAACCGTTATCTGATGAAGAACTAGAAGTAATTGTTAAGGATGGCGAGCCCATAGGGGAGGAACAAATGGCGCCTTCTGCGTCGTGGGAGTATGGGATGACGCCACTGAAGACGTTGTTTAGGGCTGGAAGTATTGGACCGACTCAACAATCTACCCCTAAAGGCGACGTGTCGGGAGACGATTTGTCGAGGTCCTTGGGTTCGTCGAGCAACCGAAAATTTGCAACAACTTCAATGAATTTGTCAAGTTCACCATTTGATAGTGCTGACGAGAGCTGTACGCCCCAGATATCCATTGTCCATTGCAGTTTCTTAAATTCCGCTAATAGCAGACGACGGTGTTATGCGCCCTCCACGGACCTTCAAGGGCAAAGGGAAGAAGAAATACCAGCAAGATGATCATGCGCGCCCCGAGTCGTCAGTGCAGTCAGCAAGTTTCCCCCCGCCAACGGTCTGGTATTATGGCGTCACCCACGAATCCACAGTCAGATGACCTCTCTTTCCCCCATCGCCTGTCTCTTTGTCTCGCGTTTCAGGAATATCGGTTATCTCGAAGTCCGAAGAGTTCAAAACCCGGAGGGGACTATGGAAGCTTCCCAAGAGCAAAAAGCCATTGATCCTTCGTTGTCATTCATCCCGGACGAGCCGTCTATGCCTTCGTCCTCAGCGCTTCCCCCTTCCGAGAACGAGTCGCAAAATGAAGAGCAACCTGCATTGAATATCTCGCACCTTTCTTTCGCGACGCCCCCTCGCATTTCCAGGTCTGTAGTGTTCAACACACCGCCCCGTCCTGATGACCTTCCTGATCTCCCTGACTTACCCACATCTCCGGATGGGAGTTTACCATCCCCTACGGCGACTCGGACGCCCAACCGTAATACATTAATCGATGGGCCAGGCATGACGCGCACACCTCATCCTCCTGGTGGGTGGAGAACTCCAAAGCCAGGCCGCCCACATCTAGTTCCCGCTACTCCGCAAGATGAGTCCGGAGTGCTTGAGCCAAACACGGCTGAAGAAGTAAACGGGTCTGCTGTGTCCGTTCCCAATGGGGCGCGGAACAAACTGCGAGGGGCCCCTACTACACCTGATGCAGGCTTCCCAGCGCCGACACCTGAACAGGATGGGGGCAGGATGGGGGCTTCTACATCGATTTCGAAGACGCCGAAACCTCCTGGTGCATGGGCTAGTACGCCTGTTACATCCGCGTCCAATTCGTTACGAAAGGGGATTTTGAAGGTTCGATTTGACGAAACATCGCTTAGTAGCTCTGCCATATTGGAACATCAGGTAATGGAGGAAGAGCAGGAAGAACTAGTGACTCCCTCAAACAAGCACCGGAAGAGTATCCCTTCGGCCTTCGGCCCTAACGAGGGAGATGTGGCGAGTTCGTCCCCCTCTAAGGGAAAGGCAAAACCTTCCAGCAGGGATTCATCTCCTCGCAGGCGGAGACCCCGTATGAAAATGGTGGATGCCTTTGGAAACGAAATTCCAAGCTCACCTGAGATGCTACCTGCTCTTCGGGAAGAGGATAATTCGCCTGCCACCGAGGAGGAAATACAACTTTTGAGGTCAATTGCCAGGCAAATCCCTCTCATTGCTAAAGAGTTCAACGATGAAAGGTGCGCGTATCTTCCACTCTACAAGTGGCCGTGCGACTAATTCTTGATTCTCATGATGAATGTAGCATGTCCATGACTGCCCCGGAACCACTGAGATCGCTCCAAGAAATACTTGAGGAGAAGGATCGTACTATTGATCTTAAAGAAGCTTCCAAACTGGCCCGGGCGGAGCGTGCGAGGCTTCATCGCCAGTTGCAACTCCTTCGAAATGGAGAGGAGTCACTTTCTCAAGAAATTGGGCGGCTTGAAGGCGTAGTGAGGGCGGCAACGCCTCCGCCTGACCTCGAGACCGTTCAGACTAACCGCCGATGGGGAAAGTGGTTTGTAATGATCTTGATGACTCAAACAGTTGCCATCATTATCTTCGTAAAGTGAGTTTTCACAAACCTTGTCATTCCAGGCATCGTGCTGAGCCTTTTTTCCCCCCGGGGTTCGCAGGATGGTATCTCTACGCGCAAGATACATGTTCCTTACAACATACTATGACCCGCACTTTCCAGCCCTCTATGAACCTCTCATACCTACGGGTTGGGACATATCCAGTACATTTGGCCCACACAGTTTGTCCCTTGTGGATGGGGCAGCCCATTCTTCGGTCTTGGATACTTTCTTGCATCTCGCATCGGAAATCTTTTATTCCATCTTAGCGTTTTTCTTTGGAATGAAGACGTTGGATTTTACGTTACCCCCACCCCAACGGTTACCATCCTGAATAATCTCTGAAATTCCGGATCTTCGCCGATCCCTTAATTTATGATATTATTGGGTATTCCATTGATTTTGGTCATTTCTTCTTGGAGTCTGTCGTATAGGAAATAATTTTTGTCCGTTACTACATAACCTTAACACCAATGTATCAATGTTGGCTTTGGAAAAACTGGTTATGACCGTTCCGCTGTGGCATTGAGAAAAAGCCAACCTTTGCATACAAAGTAAAAACTGAAACGAAAAGAAAAGCACCACATGCACACTCAGAATCCTCATATAGTCCTCTACCATGGTGCTAATTAAATGAACAGTACTCCGTTTAGCTTCGCAGATCAGGGTACTCTCGGAGTCCGCCATAGAACTCTGAGCGGTGACTGATAAATATAAAGAGTGTTTCGTGTATAGTGTACATTATATATAGAGATAACACTACTGTAATCCAGAGTGACCGATCGAGCCATAATGAGGCCAACAGGAAGAGCTAGCTACAGCTCTCGAACTCAAATGGTTAATTAGCTTACCATGCTTCAACGCACGGTGTGCATGCACAGCTGTGAATTTCGGATCTTTGTACTAACGTGGTGTGCGGAGATAATATAGGCATCACAATGTTTCGACGGTGAACTGAACAGTTTCAACGAAGGTGACTATGGTGAGTTGTGGTTTCATATCTAGGAACGAGCGAACTGCCAAATTGTTAGCACTTGGCAGTCAGACTCTGAGTGTGGCATACTGTAATCTGCACGATCACTATTTTTCATTTGATGAAACCTGCAGACTTGCAGTTCCATCGTTATATCTATTTGATATCCTATTAAAACGCCAGCACCGAGCCCAGCTCAGCATTCCTCGGCGCTCAGGTTTGTGTCGCTTGCATGCAAACCCATGATCGACCCGCCTAAGCAGCAGCTGCAGTGGTACTGCAGGAAGGATTTATCAAAACAGGGAGACGCGAGACCTCCATACGAATCCGTGTCGGTGCGTACTGAGCCTTCACGACGTGTCGCCCATATGCACCCGCCCTATTCAGGAGTGAAGTATGCCCACAACTCCCCCCTTGTCGCTGACAGAGTATCCAGGGCTAGCCGATGGACGTATACAACTGACCACTGCTTCGATAGGTCCAGGGTGCTGGATGTACGTCGATTATATCCCCTGGGACTGGCTCGCTACACTCAATGATTGATGCCAGCCATGTGAGTTGTGCTAGAAGGACTAGAAACTTCTGTGATAAGGCACAGGAATTTGTATATGAATCCTACTGCCTGGACGATCTGGTCTCCATGTATTTACTAGCTACCGAAAGCGGGCCTGGAGCTGAGAGGGAATCAGCGTTCCATGACAGAGACTAATACACGAGTAACCAAACACCGAGCATCTCAGCCAATGCCGCAATGGGACGGCAGCGATTTGACAACCCCACGGCAGGTTCAGTTGCAGACCCGAACAACAATAAACTATTGAGCGATGCTAACAATTCCGTAATGTTGAGGTTGCTGGATGACCTCATTGCGACACAGTCGGAAAGCACACGATGTCTTGAGTCCGGTGTGAACTAGAGGATGTTGGTCGCGTAGAATCACAGCAGTGCATCAAGTGTTGTTTGGAAGAAATCGCTCTCAAAGGGATATGAAAATAAAAGGCCCTATTCAACATACGATAGGCACGAAACATCTCCTTAAACTGACAAGCCTCAGCGGCTATCTTAATGACGCCCCCCTCCCTGTCAGCAGAGTTGGATTTGATGTAAAGTCCACCAAATACACCGGATGGTCAAAAGTCCTTCCAGTCGTGCGAACACTCGGCTCAGACCCTTTCCAGAGGCCAATGGCAAAAAGGGGTATCATGAAGTCATAGAAGCTGGAGTCTGCCTAAGATGCTTGTTCATCTTCAGGCTCGTCCGCTGATGTAAGCGAAGTTGCTTACCCATACATCTTTCCCATGCCTCCCTTGAGGCTCTAAAACGTCGGTCCGCCTTGTGTATGGCGTAACAAGTGTGATTCAATTGACAATGGCACTGTGATAGAACATTATCCAAGTGGTCACCATGAACCCAAACAGAATCCTAGAAGATTGCAATAAAGCTTCCCAATAATGCACGGAACAACTGAGGGTGTCCACAAATTCTTCGAGAACCACGTTGGGGGCCGAAATCAGAGCATTAAAGTATGAGGATTGCCTCGTCCCGACAGCTTCTTGCTGGGGCGGGTGGGCTGCGTCAGAGAAAGATTCGCTAGCAATACTTATTGAAAAGTGGGGTAGAAATTTCGACCAAGTCTTAATCTTGGCATTGTTAACTCAAGTTGGGAGGTTTATGTGTGTGAGACTTGGAAGGTGACAACGGATGCAGATGCTCATCCAGTCGGGCCCGCAATGACGCAAACAAACAACCATCAACACGAGGTCAGCACAAAACCTCGCTAGCAATTTCTTGGAACCCATCTTGGACATGAGCGCCTTGCGTAGATCAGCGCGGAATGTGGGCACCAGCTCCGCGAAGGATATTGTTGCTGGAAGCACAAGAGGCAGGAAACCGGGCAAGTCGGGGACGGTGAGCGCTAATGTGAGGTTTACGCGTCAAGTTGCTCATAGTTGAACTAAATCTTGCGTTTAGGAGGTAAGGAAGTCCCCAAAGAAGGGTGTTGTTGAAGTTGTGGTTGAACAGAGACCCAGACGTCCCCTAAGAAACCGACAGCCGACTCCGATTCCGACCACAGATGATCACGCCCGAGAGACATCTGAGCCAGCCGAACCGAAGAATACTCCTGCGAAAGTTGTTGAACTTGTCGAGAAGCCCTCAAGTGAGGAGGAATACAAAAATCCGCTTGAGGGATTTGGCGATCATACCTTTTCAACCATCAATGCATCTCTGGATTCATCTGAAGGCAATGAACCTCACGCGAAAGAAGCTGTTCTCGCCTGGCAGGCTCAAGCAACAGAGGAAGGAGGCAATGAAGTCACCCCTAGCTCCTCCCTTCCACCATCCTCTCCCCCCCACCTCTCTCCGACGAGTCCGATGAAGTCGACGACATACAAGTCAATCAAGACCTTGTCCCTCCGACTGAGGACCCTAGTTCGATGCTTGATAATACTTCCGACATCTCAGACCCATTTGGATTCTTTGCTGCTGAAAAGAAGCTGAAAGAACGACGTAAAGAGTTGCGCTCAACGGCAGAAGCAACACCACCTTCCCCCCAGCCATCTTTCACACAAACAAAGACGCCGCGTGTTTCACTCGCTGCTTCGACATTAACCCGACCTGCATTTTCCACCCCGGCGGTAATACCGAGATATCGCTCGCGTTCTTCTTCTCTTTCTAGTGTGCCTGATGAAGGGATTGGAATACCTGCGAAGAAGGCACGGGTCAGCCAGGGATCCTTTGGTGCCGACGTCCCAATTGGAGGACAATCGAAACGCACGCGTTCCGCCCAGGTGCGCCCAGAGTCACCCTATGAAGAAGACGATGGCGTCCCTCATCGCCGAAGAACAGCACGCAAGGTCAGCGGCGGCTCATCGAGTGCGGGCGGAAAGGGGAAGAAGGTCGAGAAAGCGAAAGATTCTCAGGGTGGTAGGAGACCGAGAGGGGCCGGTGCCGCTTCTGCTCGTCGCCGTCGGGCGAAGCAAGACGAGGAAGGAGAACTTATCGAAGGTGCCGACGATTCTTCCGAAGACGAGATCGCCAAGGTACTTGCAACTCCCTGATCACCGTGGTCATGCTAATCTCGAATCTGCTGCTCAGAGACCCAAGCGCGACAGAGACCAACTCGCAATTGCTCGTGCTAAACGAATTGCAGAGTTCAAGGCGCTGGATGACTACGAATTGGAAGTGGAAGAGGTCTTATTTTAATGTTTGTTTCCCGCGATTTTTGGACACCTGAGGGTTTTCTGTTATTTCTGATCAAGTCCCTTCCGTGCTCCCTTGTATCCTATAATTTGATTAACATGTGTATGACGGACGGGATTCCTGTTCTTATTGATCACTGTTTGGTTCGAGGCTGTGCTCTCACTGGGCCTGGAACAGGGCCTTTGCAGTCTTTGCAGTCGCTCAATCTGGCTGGGCTGGCTTTTCCAGCGCATCTCACATGAACTTGCGATACCCGGGAAACACGGCACTTGACATATCTGATCAGAAACGTCGCGGTTGGGTGCATCCAGTATGAGTTCCGCCCCAGCACCGCATCCCATCCCGACGGTGACTGTCGTCTCCGGCCCTGGTCCAACGTCCCCTGTATCTCAATCCTCGATAACCAATCCACTTGCTCAGCTTTCAAGAAATGCAAGCGTCATATCATCCTCAAGCTCATCATCTTCTTCGTCATCCTTGATCCTTACTCCTCCAACTCGCCCTCGACCTATTCGAGCGTTTTCTTCTCAGGCACACACTAGCGTGTCACCTCAGCGTGCGGGTAGCCGCGCACAGAGCCCTCATTCTCCTGGAACTCCTCTATTTTCTAGAGCACCTAGCTATCTGCAACGTCAGCTGGGCATCGGGGATGATGTGCCAGCTGACTTGGCACTTCCTCCTCTATCCGTTCCAGATTTATCAAAGACTCCGACCATCGGCGCTACTGTGAGAGCCACCACACCCAGGGAGCCCCGCTCAAGGACAAGCAGTGGAACGGCCATCCGGCGTCTTTATTCACCCGAAGATTTCGAATTCGGTGACGTGCTTGGGGAGGGTTCTTATTCAACTGTACGCTTGTGTGCGGCTTGAAAGCACCTCTTCTGCGTATGCTTATCGTGCTATTTTCCCGCCACGTGCAGGTACTTTCGGCCACGTACCGGAGAACAGGACAAATTTATGCAGTCAAAGTCCTCGATAAGCACCATCTTCAGCGTAACAATAAGGTAAAATATGCATATGTAGAGAAGGACAGTCTGGCTAGACTCAGCACTGTCGGCCATCCTGGTCTTGTGAGACTTCACTGGGCGTTCAGCGACACCACCAGTCTCTGTATGTCCCTCAAACGACTTTTCGAAATCAGTCTGATCTTAGCCCTCAGA